TCACGCTCGCCCGAGCCCGCCTGCGCAGCTGCACCAGCCCCTGTGGTGTCTCTCCCCGAGGGGGGGCCTGCGCTCCCCACAGGTTGGTGCCGCAGCCCCAGCTCCCCCCGCCTGACCCCGTGCCCGACGGCGAAGCCCGGCTGCAGACCCCTGCAGCCCTCAGAGGGGTGGTGGTGGCCTTCCACTGCCACCCTCTCCTTATGTCCTGAGCCTGTGGGCACCCAAAACACCTCACATTCCCCCCCAGCCCACGCTGGAGCTCAGCCTGCTACTGCTTGAGCTGCACCATGTCCATCTGTGCCTGTGCCACCACCACGACTGCCTACAGTGCATAGAAATGGCTGTGCAGTTACAGGTACTGCAATTATTAGGAACCCACAAGCTTGACCCATCCTTCAGAGTAGTTAACCAGAAGGTTAACCTGGTGACTGCACTGTCCACAACCTTTAAAACTCGCTTGCACTTTTCCAAGCAGATACTGCAGGTTGACACTGCCTTAGCCCAGGCAGTTGAGCCTCAGACTAGTAGATGGTGACCAGACTTCAGTGGGAAGTGAATGGCAAAGGGTGCTGGAGGCTTCCAGTTGTACAGCAGTTCAGTCAAGCAGCTCTGGCCAGAGAAGACCTAGGGCTCCAGCCTTCTTCTGATCTCATCAACAAGCTTTTCTCTTGGGATATCAACCTACAAAGCAAACAGAGAGAAGGAGGCAGTAGCACTGGAACCCTGAGCTGAGCATGGTTCAATCTGGCCCTAAGGACTTGCTGTGGACTTGTTGGTACACAGTTCGTGACTCGTTTTCTGGAGCAGTCACCCGACAGACCTGTGCTATAGCTCCCCAGAGGAACAACGTCCCTGAGGGAAAACGCAGAGCCTTTCAGTAATCTCTAGATTTTGGAAGCACTTTTGAAACTTGATGTAAAAAGGCATTCTCACCTCCTCTCTTGTTGCAACATCTCGCAGCTTGACAACTCCATCTGTCAGTTCTTGCTCTCCTACAATAGCAGCAAGGGGGATCCCCATGTTCTCGCAATACTGCAGCTGCTTCAGCAGTTTAGGATCCTTTTTGTACAGCATCTCTGCCTAGGAGGGAGTGGAAAAGGTGAATCATGAATGCAAAATTTGCTCTGATGGATCTTGGAGCGAAACAGCCAGCACCAAAACTTGCAGCAAGCGCTTGCCTTTAGTGCTGTCAGCTGTTCTCCTTCTCTGCCTGCTAGATCTCAGACAGATCTTGAAGAGACACCACACTAATGGAATTGGTCTTGCTGTGCTACAGCTCCCTTCAGACACTCCCTCCCTCACCCATACCAGTGCCAAGCCCAAGTCCTTACGGTACCTTGATCCCTGCGTCCCACAGCTCGGAGATAAGCTTCAGTCTCGCAGTGAGTAAGTGTTTGTGAGGCGTAGCCACCAGCACTTGTGTCTCCGTTGTTCGAACTTTCTCCCCGGAAGCCTGCAGGGACAGACACACTCGTGAGAGTGACTGGCTCTGAGGGAATCTGCAGGTCGCAACAGAAGCTCATCTCACCTTATCTTCAGACCTTAACCTAGCTCCCCAAAACAAGTATACTTAAAAGCTAACCATCACCATTCAGTGAACGTTACTGAGCAAGGCTAACCTCCCAGAAGCAAAAAGAGTGCACAGATAAGACAATCTGGGCCCCAGAGAATCTGCATTGTGACACGTTACCTAATTGCGTGCTGCCGTTCCCATGGGGTTTTGGCCTGCCTCCCTCCCTCCTGGATGGGACCTGGACAGCTTTCCAATGTCCCCTTTGATTCCTCAGGTAGAAACATCTCACTTGCTATGAATCACAAGCTCAGAACTAAACACAGTGATGAATTTCCTCACAGGCTTTCCTAGGGTGCTCATTACAGACCAAGTACCACGTTCATCACTTCACAATCCCCAGGACAGAAAACTTTGCAGGCAAGACACAAGAGAAAGGTGACTGGGGCATAGAATTCAGAGCCAGGATCAGAGCTCAGAGCCTGTCTCCAACACATCTTTGGCATCTACTACAAAATGCTGCCCTCAGCTGCCCACACCTGCATCCTGATGGGCTGCAGAAAAGGAGCTCCATCTTCTGTGCATGGACATTCAGGCATGAGAGGAGCCACCCTCTCCCCCAAAATTTTTTCTCCTTGAACACTGTGGAGCTGTAGAGCTCTCTACTAAATGATAGCCAGCTTCCTAGAGCCCTCCCCCATGGACCACCTGCAGCACCTACCTTTACTCTCTGCTCTAGGATGGAGAAGATCCG